GGCTATTACTAGTGTGTAACGTGTTCGACGATAACTTGGCACCACATAATCGTGGACTTGCGCCAAACTAAGCTAAACTTAATGAATAGGGCGTCTCTGCGTAGGGTAAGATTTTGCGCGCTAGTCTGGTTAATCATTACTAACGAGTAGGGTACTCCATATTCATAACTTTGTCCCAAATAGGGCGCCTCGATGTACGGTAATGGTTAACAAGCTACTCTAACTCTTACTACTGTGTATTGAATTCGAAGCTCGCTCGATGATCCATATTTGTAACAACAAAACTAAGCTTTGTAAACAAGCCGGCTGGACGTATGGTAACGGTTAACGAGCTAGTTGTGCTGATCATTGCTACTGTTTAGTGTGTTCGATCCTTGTTGGGTGCTCCATACTTGTCCCCTTGCACCAAAAAAAGCTATATATGTTAAATCGAATGTGTCAATGTAGGGTAATGGTTAACAGTCAAATTGGGTTGATCATTTTTACTGAGTAGAGGGTTCGAATTTCACTGAGGGCCCATGCTCGTGAACTTGTGTCAAACTAAGCTAAGCTTAGGAAATAGGGCGTCTCTGGATGGATAATCTCAGGTCAGTAAATAGGGTGCATCGATGTAGGGTACTGATTAACGAGCTAGTCTAGTTGACTGTTACTTCTCTGTAGGAAATTCAGTATTCATTTGGTGCGTCATACTTGTGCCAAATTAAACTAAGCTTTGTAAATAATACGCCTTATCGTGAGTTCGATCCTTGTTGGGTGTTTTATATTTGTCCCCTTTTGCTTAAATAATCTAAGCGTGGGGAATAGTGACAGTAATGGGTGACGAGTTAGGATAATGATTACTACTATATAATAAGTGCAAACTTCATCAGGGCTCCATGCTTGTAAGCCTTGTGTGAACCAAAGATACGTTAAGTAATAACAATAGCAAAAACTAACGATATACTACTACTACTACTACTACTACTAATAATAATAATAATAATAATAATAATAATAATAATAATATAAATAGTATAGATAATAGTTATGATTAACGGCTACAGAACAATAAGGCTATAAATTTTCATAACAACCCCACAATTTTTAGTGTAATAATTTCCCCAACAGAAATGATATAATGTTATAATATTAATAACCGCAATAAACAACCCCTCAACAAAAATTGTTCACCCTTTTTGTAAAAACTGATAGCGTATCATTTTTTTCCAGTTATTATTACTGTGCTTCAGTCTTTCACGAAGCTGTTTTTTTTGTCTTCCCAGTTTCTTTCGCAGTTTCCAACACTATAAAAAATTACTTGGCGTATTAAATCTTAAGATATTAGTGTCACCATTATCATCTATAATGAACAAAACGGAAAAAATATTAATAAGAATTTGATTTGTGGACAATATTAATACAAATAACAACAATGATTCAAACTGTTTAATATCACAACTTTTTTTTAACTGTCGGTGATGACAGTTCGTAAAGCATCTTCTATTTACAGAAAACAAACAATATTTAAATCAAAGAATGACGATTTTATGAATAACTCACAGAAAATTCCTGTTTCTCCCATTCCCTACTGATTTTTTTCAGCTTTTTAAAAGCTTGTATTAATAGCATTTTTACTTTATTGTCATAAACTTTGCCTAAAAACCAAAACGAGGCTATAAAAATGACTGCTTCTTCCTCTCTGTTTATCGGTAAAGCAAGTTGAATATTTTAAAAATCTACGTTATTTTAATTTGCTTCTTCTGTAATTTTATTTATACTTTTTTTTTCATCTTTTTTGTTTAATATAAACATTTGCCTTTCATCGCTTCCCCAAACGAAAACGACAAAATATGAATATTTAATTTGCTATGTCCTTTGTTTCATCTACGTATTCGTAAACTTGTTTGATTTTTTTTTTTCAATTTACCCTTGTGTACGTTTGCCTGTGTTTTCTCTTAAATGCTCCTTGCTTTATAACCTTTGTTTCAATTTCTGTGTAATACCAGGGCATCCATTATACACCTTACACGCATAGGCATGAAAGTTCACACACATATATGTCTACATATATTCATGGGATATGTATCTAAGTGAGTCGGTGATCGTGAATGAGTGTTGATGCTGATATATTTATTTATGTGTATACATATTTAAATGAGATGCAGACTCGAAAACCAAACGACGAAAAAAAAGAAAATAATTGCAAAAACTTCCAAAAAAAAAAGAAATATATTTTCCTTAACTCTTATCTCATACAAACCTTTTCCCCTCTCCATTATATCTCGCTCTTTAAAATATCGCTCCCCTCTCTCTCTTCCACTTTCATATCCCTCACGCTCTCTCTCTCTCTCTCTCTATATATATATATATATATATATATATATATATATATATATATATATATGTGTGTGTGTATATATATATATATATATATATATATATATATATATATATATAAGGAAGAAAAGTTCAAAGTCCGAACAAGAAGACATTCCCTTTCCAAAATATTAAAATATTTATTCATTTGATTAGATTTTGAGCAGTTGCCAACACATTCAAGTTAATATCAAGGACATAATTGGGATTAAATATGAGGCAGATTAAGAATACAGCAAAATTATAGGATAAGAAACGAACAGGAAAGGTTTATACATTTAGCATGTTTCGCTTTTATTTAAACTTCATCGGAAAATGAAATATGGAGGAGATAGAGATGAAGCTTAAATAAAAGCTAAACATTTAAAATTTGTTTCCTATTTGTTACTTATCCTATTATATATATGTGTGTGTGTGTGTGCTAGGATAAAGAACGAATAGGAAGCGTTTATAAGTAACAAAATTTACTTATTAAAGATTCATCAGAGAATATGTATGTGTGTCTGTGATAAATAATTCGAATCATGTTATATATATAAGGGTTTCCTATTTGCTTTTTCTCATACCATTCTGTTGGATTGCAATCAATATTTTATTTCGATTTGATCCAAATTCATATATATATATATAATTTAATATTTATTATTTAATTCTTGTACATCCAGTGTAAGTGAAAATTGCAGTTTTTTGTCCTCCATGTTGAACACGAAGCAAGAAGAGATAAAGTTAAATATAGGGCTATTCTTTCCAATAAAGGACGGTTGTCAAACCCAGTTAGGGCACAGAACTTTCCTGAACACCCACATATCTGTATTATTGTCTATCTCTCTCGATTCCTATTTTCTATATATTTTTCTTAAGTTACTTTTATATCGTTTTATTTATTTTTAAAATGCAATCTGGGGTTGTTATTGAAAAAAGAATTTCGATTTTGGGTCTTATGGGAAAAAAAAAAACGTTTTTCAAAGAATTGTTTCGCTTTTCTGGATACTAACAGATTTATATAACCGTATACTAGTGGCCTTGTGCCAAACTAAGCTACGCTTAGTATACAATAACTATTATTCTAGAACTATTTACCATAGCTCACATGCAGTTTTAATAAAAGAAGAAAAAAAAAATTTCCACCCTACTAACTGGTCGAACAGCTGGTTCTCATTATTAATGATCACAAGTTCAATTCCGAACAGGATCGACTTTGGTCCGGAGTCAATTTCGCTGTTGGCGAAATATACAGTATTTTGTCATGAAGAATAGACGATCAACAGAGATAAAACAAGAAGTATACCTCTTCCTTCAACGAGAAAATCCAAGATCAACGCGTGGATCATCCTCTGAATATGAGAAATACCTTAAAGGAAAGAAGGAAAAAAAATAGGGGCTTCCCGCCAGTGCAGACAACTTTTGAGAGCGAAGATTCCACGGCGATGACACTTGGAATAGTTCGCTGACTCCGGCCAAAGAACTTATTTGACGTAGTGCTAATTAATTATACATTTTCGCACCTCCCTAATCATTTTTTTCGGACGATTGTTATCTGTTCTGGTCATTGATATTCCAACCAATCAGAATGCTACCACGAAAGAACCGGAAGTAGGCTGCTTGACGGGAAATTTCTGGACACGAACGTACGGTTTAGTAATGAGCAAAGCAGATAGGAATAAATTCGCACATTTTTTTTTTTTTTTTTATATCTAACTTTTTTTTCTTCAGTCTTTATTCATTATGAGTTTCATTCACGGGTTTATTCTTAAACATCTTCCTCCTATCATTCAGTTATTATCTTTCTTCATTCTTACTTGAAGTCCTCTGTTTTTTCTTTCTTTTCACATGTGAATTCATCATTCTTTCTTTCCCATTCTCTTTTTCATTCTATGATCTATCTTTTCTTTCTTTCTAACTTCATTCTTTCTGGCTTTTCGCTACCTAATTTTTGTCTATCTCTTTATTTCACTCATTTTCTTTCTTTCTTTCTTTCTTTCTTTCTTTCTTTCTTTCTTTCTTGCGTGCTTGCTTTTTTTCTGTCTATTTTTTCTCTATCGCTCTAATTCACCCCTTTTCTTTCCATTCTTTCTTTCTTTCTTTTCTAATTTCATTCTTTCTGGCTCTTCTCTATTTAATTTTCCTCTCTCTCTCTCTCTCTCTCTTTCTTCCACTCTTTTCCATTCTTTCTTTCTTTCTTTCTTTCATTCATTCTTTCATTCTTTCTTTCTTTCTTCCTTGCGTGCTTGCTTTTTTCTGTCTAATTTTTCTCTATCTCTCTAAGTCACCACTTTTCTTTCCATTCTTTCTTTCTTTCTTTCTTTCTTTCTTTTCTAATTTTATTCCTTCTGGCTTTTTCTCTACTTTAATTTTGCTCATTCCTGGCCTTTTCATTCATTTACTTCTTTCTTTCTTTTCTAATTTCATTCTTTCTGGCTTTTTTTTTTCTGTGTTTAATTTCCCTCTTTCTCTCTTTCCTTCACTTCTTTTGTTTCCATTCTTTCTTTCTGTCTTCCTTTCTTTCTTTCATCCTTTCTTTCTTTACTACTTTCATCTCTTTTATTTCCCCCTTTCTTTCTTTTCTACCCTTTCGTCCCGTCGATACTAGTAGGTATGGAATATGACTGTCTCTCTCTTAGTGAAATTGCCAGGACATTAGAGATATGACGCTCACCCAGAGAGAACCTCATATCTCAATTAAAAGTCACGGTCAGTATAACGCCCTGTTATCTATGGCTAAGACTAGTTGCTCCAGGCAGTTATTGACACTTGCTCGCGTCAGTGATAGCTTTATCTTTCATATTGCTTGCATTTGGGAGCAAAATAAATGTCACCTCTCCATTGCACTGAGAAGAGAGGGTCAGATCTTTCCTGATGTCCATTCTAGTACCACGGTAACGTTGATATTTTTCGATGTGCTTGCATACAATTCAAAAAAGAAAACTGTGTCAAATTCTATTTACTTAATAACCTTATTCTGACACAGGGCCGCTAGGGTCGAGCTCTTTAGTACGTGGATAATGAATAGCTACCCATTTTCTTTACTAGTTCTTTCCTGTTTCTACTCTCTGATTTCAGTTCTTTCTTTTTTTTTCTTTTTTCTTTCTTTCTTTCTTTCTTTTTGGATTTTCCCGCTTTTTTTTTTTTTTGGATTTTCCCGCTTTTTTTCTTTCTTTTTGGTTTTTCCCTTTTTTTTTTTCTTTCTTTCTTTCTTTCTTTTTGGATTTTCTCGCTTTTTTTTTTCTTTTGGGATTTTCCCGCTTTTTTTCTTTCTTTTTGGTTTTTCCCTTTCTTTCTTTTTTTTCTTTCTTTCTTTCTTCCTTTTTGGATTTTCCCGCTTTTTTTTCTTTTGGGATTTTCCCGATTTTTTTCTTTTTTTTTTGGTTTTTCCTTTCTTTTTTGTTTTTCCCTTTTTCTTTCTTTGGATTTTCCTTTCTTTTTTTTTTTGGATTTTCCCGCCTTTTTTTTTTTTTTTTTTTCTTTCTTTCTTTCTTTCTATCTTTCAGTCCTTTTCTTTCTTTCTGAAGTTATTTTTGCCGAATTTATTTTCTTTTCAATACAGCTTATTTGTTGACGACACGAAACTGGCCTAGTGCCAAAGATGTTTTCGTAAAAACAACTATTTTTTTTTCTATCCTTCTTTTCATCTTTTCTTTCTGTAAGCAGTTATTCTCTTCTCTTTATTCATATATTTTTTATTGTTACTTTCTGTTTTTTTTCTTTCTTTCATTAATTACTTCTTTCTTTCCTTATTTCTTTTCTTCTTTCTTTCTTTCTTTCTTTCTTTTCTTTGTTCTTTTCTTTCTAACCTCTTTCTTTCTTTCTTGCATTCATTCTATCTTTTTTTTATTTATTTCTTGCTCCTTTCTTGCTTTCTTCATTTCTCTCTTTTGTTCTTTACTTTTTTACCTTTTTTCCATCTTTTTTTCTTTCTTTTTTTCTTTCTTTCTTTTTTCTTTCTTCTTTCTTTTCGTTCCTTATTTCTTTCATTCTCTTGTTTGTTCCTTGCTTTCTAGCCTCTTTCCTTTATTCTTTCTTTCTCTGTTTCTTTATTTCCTGCTTTCTTGCTTTTTTCTTTCTTTCTTTTCGTTGTTTCTTTCTTTCTTTCTTTCTTTCTTTCTTTCCTTCCATCCTTTTTACTTCTTTCTTTCTAGCCACTTTCTTTCTTTTTCGTTATTTCTTGCTTTTTTTTTCTCTCCTTTCTTTCTTTCTTTCATTCATATCTATGAATTTGATAATTTCCCAAAACGGTGAACATCAGTATTTAAACAATGTCTTTTAATACTATTGCCAATTTATAAATTTCTTTAAAAGAAAAAATTATGCATAAAAAAAGAATTGAATGCAAGAAACAAATATGAAACGAAATTTTGGCATATGCCTTTTCTTTAATCGCAAATTTTCCCGATCATAAATTTATATAAATTTTACACCACCACCTAGCCCTCTACGAAAAAACGTTTTACATTAAAAAAAATATTCATATTCCATCACTACTTTCTTAAATATATATACATATATATATATATATATATATATATATATATATATATATATATATATATATATATATATATATATATATTAGTTTTTAACGTGTTCACGAAAAAACAAGATGAGATGAAAAATATAGCGGGAAATCTTATAAAATTCTTTTTAAAAATCTTTTTAAACCAAAAAACGCCTAATAATTGCTGACTTCTTCAGCAATGATTTTTATTGCATGTCAAATTTCCCCATCTGTTCAACAAAAAACAACAAGAAAAAGACCGCACCTCATTCTATGTTTACAGTTAAACAAAAAAAAAAAAAAATAGATAATCCTTCAAAATATCCCCAAAGAAAATTCCGTTTGCACACATATATTCACACCTATGTCTGTTCCATATACATACCTCCATGAATTCTAAACAAACATCCTTCAGCACACAAACGCGTTTATAGACCTGAACATCTTATTTAATATATCAGAATAGTCGTACCAGAAAATGGTATTCTGAAGTCATTTGAGGTTTCTTTTTTTAAACTAACGCAGTTTCTTAAACTGAAAATGCTGCTGATCAATTCAGCGTGACTGTTTGTTTGACAGTCGTGGCTCATCGGATAAATACGTCGAAACGCCCCCTTTTTCTTTTTTTTTTTTTTTTTGCTGTTAACGGGCGGGTATCGACACTTGAGCAGTTCTAACTTAAAAAAATAAAAGCGTTTAGTTCAAAATCTTACAAATTTAATGACACTAAATTAACAGATAAAGGTAATATTCACGAACGTTAGCAAAAAAACAAAGTCGCCAATAGTATAATGATTATTTAGAAATATTACTATTAATAATAATAGTTGTATGGCACTGGTAATCAGGAGTTCGTTTCGATTATTGTAATTCATCGATGTGGCCTTGTAGAGAAAATAAGGCAATAATGGGACTCATCAGGCATTTTGGTTAGATATTAGCGACCGTAACACAAGATCTCAAGCAATGTCGGTAACAATAGTGACAGAAAGGCAAGTCCGCGGTTATTGTGAATAATAACAGTGAGAGTAAGGAAAGATTTCAAGTATTGTAACAATAGCAACAGTAAGGCAAGTCCTCAGCCACTGTACGTAATAATCGCGAAAGTAAGGAAAGACTTCAAGTATTGTGGGTAACGACAGAGACAGTAAGGCAAGTCCTCGGCCATTGTACGTAATAATCGTGAAAGTAAGGAAATACTTCAAGTATTGTGGGTAACAATAGCGATAGGATGGCAAGTCCCCAGTCGTTGTGGGTCATAATAGTGAGAGTAAGGAAAGACTTCAAGTATTGTGGGTAACAACAGCGATAGTAAGGCAAGTCCCCAGTCGTTGTGGGTCATAATAATGTGAGTAAGAGAAGACGTCAAGTATTGTCGGTAACAATAGATATAGGAAGGCAAGTCCTCAGCCATTGTAGTTAATAATAGCTGTAGTAAGGCAAATCCTAAAGTATCGTGGTTAACAGTCGTGATAGTAAGGCAAAGCTTTGTGCAAACTGTTAATCAACTAGCAGATGATACGCTCTCTCCTATAAACTGTAACAAAACGTCCCTTCAGCATAATATCGGTATGAACCATAGGTGTGTATCCCGCAAAATATAAATGTGTTTGAGCAAAAACCTGCAGTTGTTTTTGGCTAGCCTCTATTGTAAATTTTCGGACAAGAGCAACCAGACAATATGGCGAGGCATCAAGCATTATCTGTAATAATATTGAGAGTGTGGCAAGACCTTAAGCATTGTGGGTAATAATAATGCTAATAAGGCAAGGCGTTTAGAATTGTTGGTAATATTAGCGATAGTAAAGCAAGAGCTCTAGAGCTCTGGATAATTATAGTGATAGTGGACCTTCGGCCTCTACAATTGTGGGCAATAAAAGAGATAGTAAGATATGGCGTAATAATGGTAATAGTAAGAAATACCTCTTAAATGTTCGGTTAATAATTGCGATAATTGTGGCAAGGATTAAAACGTATAGCCAAATAAAGAAAATACTCACAAAAAACGGATAATTCCTTGAAGACGCATTTTCAACATATTACGAGTATTTAAAATTATATTTAATATTACAATGATAATAATAAGATAATAACAAATAATAATAATAATAACGAATTGAATACTATATAAGGCGTCTAGCTATTAACTATACATTATCGCCATCATTACATATAATCTCTGATCTTTACTCTCTTCACTGAAAATGATATTATTAATAAGAAATAAGTCTCCTTATTATTGTCACCATTAGTGCTACCGTGCATTGTGTATTCCTTGCTCGCTTTACTAAAGGCCTAGTAATAACAGTATCACTAATCATCCACACCGTTTACTACAATATAATCTTTGCGCTGCTCACCGTCGTGATTTTTTATTCATCTTGGGTGGCGACGCGACGATGGAGTGTTCTCTCTAGGGCGTGGGCTTTGGCAGAATTGTATGGCAGATGGGCAGTTGCATTTCACTGTAAATAATAATAATAATAATAGTAATAATAATAATAAGTCCTGCTCCATCAGTATAGCTATGTGATGACGAGTGGCTGTTATACTACTGTCGTCATCAATTTCGCATTTTGTTCCGTTCGTTTAAAATTAAATTTGTAAGAAAGGGACTTTGGAACTATTCTGAAGGAAGTCATGATGAAATTTGTATCAACTGGAAGCAGAAGACAGACAAGCCTGGAAATTACTCGAAGCAAATAATTTTAGGATTTGGAGCGAAATATCGATGATAATCCATCTAACCGATATAATGTTAAGACTAAATTAGATAAAGATAGAAAGTCCCAGTATTTGCTGATGTAATTCACAGTGTAAAATTACATAAAAAAAGGCTTATGCATAATAGGAACTTTTAAAAACTATGGAATATATGTGACTAGCACTAATGGTTATTGTGCCTTTAGGAAACAAAATCTCAGAATGGCTCCTAAAGAATGGCGAAAACAAAGAGGGATTGAAATGACGGTAGCTACTATGGAAATTCTAGCACCCACAAAGACTAAATACTATCAGAACAACGTCTAGATCAATACCGAGTTTGACGATATTCCCCTCGTTTACAAAGAAATACAACGAAATGAAATATTATATGCAATTCCTTTTATATTTCTGAGAGGCCAAATAAAAATTTGAGAAGGTTGCAATAAACCGTTCTCGGTGTGAATTGGACATCAAAAGTTTCCAGAGAGAATTACAGTATTCGATTGTCATATATTTGGAGAACATTCAAACGAACCATTCACGATGTGAACTGTACATTAAAAGTAATTGTATCCGATTGTTAGGTATGTGGAAAAGGTTGCAACGAATCATTCTTAGTGTAAACCGATTGAGGCTGTACCAAAGAAACTGTTGGTTTCATGTGCCGTTACTCATTTTTCCCTATTATGTGTCACGTGCAATGCATTTAACTTGACTTAACAAACGGAAGGTCTCTTGACGTCAACCGACGCTGGCCTTCAGAAGGCACAAAATCGGCCTTTATTCAGCTAATCAACGAAACATGGCCGATTACAATCGATACAAGACGAGAGATCTCGGAAAACGTCGAAGAGTGAGAACGAAGATGGCAGCTTTGTTCATAAAAAACGTTATCAGTTTATAACCAACCTTTTCTTTTTTTAAATGAAGGGGGGTCTACAATCAGAAATAATTAGCAAAATGAAAGCTTTTTCAAAAGAAAACAACCGGTTATTGATCGTTGTGACGGTTGTTAAAAAATCATCCTAATAATAACAATAATAACGTTAGCTTAGATACATACGCTTGTTGATAATCAATATTTGATTAGGAAATTAAATGAAGGGGTCTACAATCAGAAATAATTGCCGAAATGAAAGCTTTTCCCCCCAAAACAACAACTGGTTATTGATCGTTGTGAGGGTTGTAAAAAATCACCATAATAATAATGGTAATAATAATAAAGTTAGCTTAGAGATATACGTCTCACATTATGAAATGGACAAGGTCCGACAATTATTTTAAGACATTTTTTTATGTTTATACGTTCTTTTTATAGATACACGTATTTAAGTAAATGCTCTGTTTATAATAAACAGTATTAACGACATTTACCGGCCTGAATGTCCGAGAGATTTTCATAGAATAGGAATCGAACCTGTATCCCATACAGTAAAATCGACCTTGCTAACCGAAACGCTCCTCCGTGGCTGAATCGGTAAAAGCACGTCAGGCTATATGACGGTTCCTTAGAGAATGTCGCAGGTTAGTATTTATGAAGGAGGAAGAGTTCAATCTAATGTAGATAGGTCACCATAACATAATCCCACGCGGTATTTTACTTAGTAATAACGGTGTGGTTGAAAATAGGGTGCTGGTATGTTCTACTATGTTTGATCGGCTAATCCCAGAAGTATAAACGCTGTAGGGTACCATGTCTGGTTCACTTGGCTTTGTTCCTACACAGATGATACTAAACAGAGGGGTGCGTATTTATGTGTTTAAAGGTAGCTCTAATGAATTGTCTATATCTATAACACGGCACAATAGGTTAAAAGAAGTGAGGTGATTGTTTGGAAACTGGCTTTCGTTTTGCGTTGAAATGAAATTAAGAAAGTCTTTGACAAAAATGACGATTAACAGAGACTCGTGCCACGATATAGTTATGATGTTAAAAACGAGGTAAGTCCAGAAAACATATAATGGCGTGGTTTAAGAGTCACGAAATAATACATCGATATAATAATAATTTAAGGACTTTAATAATATAAGAAAAATGGAGATACCGATGATGATAATGATGATGATGATGATGATGATCCCGAAAGCAATATGCATTATTATTATTATACCTATGTAGGTAGATTGTTATAATTATTAGTAATAATAATAATAGTAGTAGTAGTAGTAGTAGTAGCAGTAGTAGTAATAGTAGTACTACTAATAATGATTGAATTTAGCCGTATGCTATGAGAATAGTTGACGAATGGCACACTGATCGATATCAGATCAGTATCGACCGTGTCGCTGTGGAGAATGGCTATAATGTTGTAAGACACGATACCCCTAATGATCCACGAATAAAAACGACATTGATAATGTGCGCCAAAGCCTCAAACCCATGTATTTCTTGAAATAATAATAATAATAATAATAATAATAATAATAATAATAATAATAATGGATATATAAATTGAAAGAATGAATTGGTATGAAGGCGACAGCCAGTACCAGTGGGAATCGATGATCACGGTCTAGTCACGGAAGTCATGGATAAATTGCATCAATCCTTGACATGATGAAGATACAAGACGTTCTCCTCGGCACTGCTTTCATATAAAAGAGAAATCATGGCGTCAGATACAAACATCGCATTCTCATGTTAACGCCAAGTTCAGGGGATTAGCCCCATTCTGTGTGTGAACAAAGCAGGGTAAATAAGAAAAAAAACCCTGAATAATAATAATAATAATAATAATAATAATAATAATAATAATAATCTGAGTAAAATTTCTACAGCAATTCGAAATTAAGTCATTTAGAAACAACTAGTGCTTCTGACTGCCAGAATTTTAGGCAAGATTTTATCAATGTAGAGCAATGAAGAAATGGCAGGATCCATTGCAATTCGCTATAACCCGCTCCTGATTGTTAAATTACGGTTTATGATCTACTTGAAATAATAATAATAATAATAATAATAATAATAATAATAATGATAATAATAATAATAAATATGCTTTTACTAGATCTCCATTTTTATTTTAGACAAAAACCCAAAAGATAAGACCGGTCCGTAAATAGGGAAATTATAATAAAATATTATCACAAATTTTTAACTAAAACATAGGTACATATATACGTTAAAAGTCATTATAAATAAAAATTGCTGTACTCTTTTACGTGTTTACTTTCTAATTCGATGTGAAATGTAGCTATTCCCTGATTCACAGAGGCCAAAAAAATTGTAAATAGAATTAATTATAGAGAGAAACTTTCCTAAATTCCGCCAAATAAAATGTAGAGATACTGTTTAAGAAATGAAACTCCTGTGCCAAGGCTATCGTTAAGAATTTGCACAAACCTAGTCACAGAGCAAAATTCACATTTGCATAATGGTGTAGGTTGCTGTTGAGATAAATTTTGTTTAGTCGTAGCTTCAAAGGTAGTGAGAGCGAGACAGAGAAGATACAATATGGTAGGGAAGGTGGTGGCGACACGATAATAACAAGAAGATGTCTCTGAGTAAAATGAGTGGATTTCTTTGCACGGAAATATGAAATGGAGTAAAAAGAGAAGTGAAAGGGAGTGAAAGAAATGAAATGACTGAATGAAGGAATGAAGGAATGAAGGAATTAATGAATGAATGAAAGAAAAAAAGAAAAAAGCAAAGAACAATTCAGAATAAAAGAAAGAAAGAAAGAAAGAAAGAAAGAAAGAAAGAAAGAAGATGGGACGCATCAGTAAAGAAGTGAATGAGATATAAAGGAAGGAATGGACGCAAAATTTAAAATTGCCAAAGAAAGAAAGAAAGAAAGAAAGAAAGAAAGAAAGAAAGGGACAAAAAATTTTTAAAATGCATAAGAAAAAGAGATAAAATTAAAAAAAAAAGCAAGAAAGAAAGAAGTAAAAAAGAAAGGGTGGCAAAATGCTTTCAAAAAAAAAAAGGTGGTGAGAATTAAAAATACAATAGAAAGAAAGAAAGAAAGAAAGAAAGAAAAGAAAGAAAAAAAGAAAGAAAGTCAAAGAAACAAAAAGAAAATCAAACAAAGAAAGAAAGAAAAAGAAAGAAAGAAAGAAAGAAAGAAAGAAAGAAAGAAACAGAAAAGGAAAGAAAAAAGAAAAGAAAGAAAGTCAAAGAATAAAAAGAAAATAAAGAAAGAAAGAAAGAAAAAGAAAGAAAGAAAGAAAGAAAGAAAAACAAAGTCAAACAGACAGACGGGAAAGAAAAAAGAAAAGAAAGAAAGAAAGAAAGAAAGAAAAAAGAAAGAAAGAAAGAAAAGAAAACAAACAGACAGACGGGAAAGAAAAAGTTAAAAGAAAGAAAGAAAAAAAAAGAAAGAAAAAAAAGTCAAACAGACAGACGGGAAAAAAAATGAAAGAAAAGAAAAAAGAAAAGAAAAAGAAAGAAAAATAAAGAAAGAAGAAAGAAAGAAACGCAAAATCAAAAATGCATAAGAAAGAAAGAAAAAAGAAAGTGTGGCAAATTTTAAAATGCATTAGAAAAAAGAAAGAAAGAAAGAAAGAGAATAATAATAATAATAAAAAGAGAAAGGAAAATGAAACCCGGATAAATGAAAGAGAAATTTAAAAAGAAAAAGGGGAAAGAGAATGAATGTTTAAAGAACCAAAAAATAATGAAGGCAATAAAAGACGAAAGATAAAAAAACAGAAAGAAAGAAAGAAAGAAAGAAAGAAAGAAAGAAAGAAAGAAAGAAAGAAAAAGAAAGAAAGAAAGAAAAAGAAAGACAGAAAGAAAAAAGAAAGAAAGAAAAATACGCGAAAGAGAAAAAGGAATAAAATCCAAATAAATGAACGAAAGAAAAAATACGAAGAAAAAAATCAAACAATGTACAACTAAATGAAAGAAATCTAATAAAGAAACAGTGAAGTATGAAAGAGATTAAAAGAAGAAAAGATAGAAAGAAAGACTAATAAAAAAGAGTGGCTGGATAAGAAAGAAAGGAAAAGATTTATTAACGTCAAAGAGATTTGAAAGAAAGAAGAGGCATTGACTTTTAGTAAACGTTAACGATTGCCTGTCTAGCCCAGAGTTTCTCAACCAGTGTTCCCCGGAACCTGAGGCTTCCGTAAGAGGTCGCTAGATGTTCAGCGAGAAGCTGTGATAAATAGGCTATAGCAGTTTTTAGCAATTTTTATAATCGTAATTTTACTCTACACACACGGCATATTGTTGTTTAATCCTTGTTTATTACAATAAAGGTTTCAACCTTTTATATTATTTAAAATTGTAATAATCATAGATGTATATAGCGATGTCAGTATCGCGCCAGTGTGAAACCGTTTTCATTGGTTAGTGGACAGGACCTGTACGTGGCGGATTCGTGTATCATTGACTGACTCACTCGAGTATAGAGTGAGTCTCCATATATTACGTTTACCACATGAACTACGATAAAATATATGAGATAGAGAGTAATAATGGTATCTCATAATTTTTTTGTAGGGTTTCACTGAGTCATGAAAACAATTTTAAGGGTTCCACAATGGTAAAGATGTTGAGAGATGTTGTTCTAGCCCAATATCTCGAGTTAAGTAAATATTGATAGTTATAAACGCTCAATCAAAACCAAATGTTGCACTCTAAAATCACTTATCACATATTTCCCCCTTTTCCATCCCAATAAAAAAAAAATACCTTTTTAACACTTTTGAAAAAAAAAATAAAGAAAAAGAAAAAAAAAAGACGGTGGAATGTTTCAATTCAAAAAAAAAAGACTGTTCTTATTTTTTAATTTTTGTTTTAATAATAATAATTTTTTTTTTTAAAAAAAGCGATCCCCAATATAAGCACCAGTCTGCCTATATAATTATTTAATTATTAAAATAAAATAAAAAAAAATTTAAAAACGAAGGCATAGTATCCGAAACTAACACAATGCCTTTTACAAGTGACGGCGTAACCAATGAAGTTTCCAGCAACTAATCGTTACTATACCCCACTTATCAACAGCACATTATCACACGCATTTTACTTACCGCTTGCTTGGTTTTTCGTTTCTTTCTTTGTTTGCTTTACTAACTTTTCTGCTCACAATTATATGAAAAGAATGTAATAAAGTCCAAAAAATTACGAAGGTGATAACAATTTTTAACTTCTTTCATTCAATAAAAAAAAATAAAATAAAACCAGAAAAATGTTGCGTTTTTCTTGTAATAATTAAAAAAAAAAAAAAAACAAATTTCAATCTATTGCACAAATAATTTTTCAATATGCATTGATCATTGACAATAAACATTCTAGAAGGTACGCATAAAATTGAAATATTGACATATATATTTAAAAGACCCTTATACAAGTGTGTTTGTGTTTGTAGAATGTATAATAATATTTTAAAAGAAAGAGAGAATGGCGAGACAATATTGAAAAACCTATAAACGCGCGTTTTGCCGACGGCTTTTCGATTCGGGATATTCACGTAGAAAAAATGTATAAAGAAAATACGCTGAGATCTTTTAGCATAAAACACTAAAAGGTCTAATACATATATCTATCTATCTATCTATCTATCTATCTATCTATCTATCTGGTGTAACAGCAAAATTGTCTAAATCGTGTAACAGAATAGGATAATTGCCACAAAATGTTTAATATCTAAAGAACAACTAAATTAATTGAGTTTCCTTTGTTCAGATTTTCAGATAAGACGTTTAGCCACCTTGACACCATTTGTCATAAGAATCACTGAAAAACTCTTGTGTTATTCAGCTAGAAAGAGAACAGGTTAAAATCGTTTTGCGTCAGACATACTGATTTCCGAAAGTAGCAATGGTGAGACGAAAAAGATCGTTCAGGGCTTCAGTAATGGTACCAAAATCCATACTATCGTTTCTGTCTTCAAAGTCCATTCAAGAACCATCAAGAGAACGGTGAATAAATTAAAAAAAAAAGGTCAGCAGTAGATAAGACAACTGAATCAGGAGGTCAAAACAGGAAAATGATTCATCATTTCAACTTAGAGCTAAATACATTCATATTGTTCAAAGTAGAGTCCAATAGAACTGTGAAAACTTCGAAGATTTCCAGTAAGATATCTTTAATGATTTCTTAGATACAACGGTTCAAAGCATAAGCTAATAATTGTATAATTTTGCTGCGACAAAATTTGGACAGTTTTCATGTTACACCCGGCAGTATATATATATATATATATATATATATATATATATATATATATATATATATATGTGTGTGTGTGTGTGTGTGTGTGTGTGTGTGTGTGTAATAAATCTGTGTAAAACGAACGCTTTCTGGTTTCTGTTCGTCGGATGTGATAAGGTAATTTAGTTTATTGCCACAATTATGCTAAAAATACAAACACTTTTTCCTTATGCACCGTTTTCTTTCATTCCTCTGGACGCAATATATATATATATATATATATATATATATATATATATATATATATATAACATACATCCTACACTGGTCAAAATCATAAGACCAGATACAAAAGAGCTAAATAAATATAAAATACTGTTATTCTAATCGAAATATATTTGCGAACATTTACATTTAATTATAAAATGTACTTTATCAACAAGCAAGTATATATATATATATATATATATATATATATATATATATATATATATATATGAAAAAAAACAAATGATGATTGGGCCAATAGCACGGAAGGAATTATAGATAAGGCGAGGAAGAGTAAAGTGGAATTTTGGACAGGGGTAAAGGTCAATCGACATTACATTTGAATATTTGAATATTATAGTTATCAGCGCAGCAAATGATAGGAATGGAGTTCCACTGACGGGAGGTGCGAGAAAAGAAGCAGTTGGAGTTGAAGAGATGGCTGCATTTAATCGTTTCGACAGTGAAAGAGTGGGACCGAGATGCCAACCTAGTAGCACGCTTAAATTAATGCAGTTTGGAAACCAGTGAAAGTTGCTCACCAGAGCAGTTGTCATGAAAGTATTTGTAGAAAAGACAGAGGGAATCCACAGCACGTCTGTTAGATAGCGACTGCTGACGGGATGCCAGATCAGGACCCAACATGTTGCATATCCGTCTCTGGATTTTGTAGAGGACCTCGAGATGAACAGCTGGAGCACCAGACCATATATGGCAGCAGTATTCCATGCAAAGATGAATGGTTGACGTGTAGATTTGATGAAGTCCGACGAGAAGAACCTGACCGAGCGTTTCACAGTTTTTGAAATGATCGGGCAGGAATCAATTATCACAAATAATAGGGCAATGGAAATTACAATTTTTGGAAGGTAAAAGGATAACATTTTGGGATCTGCAAACATTTAGTCTTAAACATGAATAAAAATCTCAAGAAGAGGAAACTCCAGATGTCAAAATCCGTTGAAGGCATTATATCATATATATATATATATATATATATATATATATATATATATATATATATATATATATATATATATATATATATGAAGAAATATAGTTTCAAGGTGTGCTATATTTATGGGATAAAGTGCTCGATATCAGAGATGGAGCGTGTAAATATAAAAGTGAAACATAGAAGTCAACACTCAGAGGCGACAGTCTGTTTCATGCTATATGCAATCGTCAGGCCACGTGGGCTGTTATTTTTCTCGGCTATTTATACATATACGGGTCATTGGTGCCTTGTGGGTAGTCTATTATGGCGGTTATTTTACCGGAAGTCGTTTATTTATTTATTTGGGTTAAATTATTTTGTTTGATTTTATTTAATTTTATTTTTTTGTTTCTT